ACTTCCAAAAAATTGTCTCTCTGATTGCAAATCTGTGGCTGCCGTCGTGAAATTTTAGGAGGCAATTGTTTGGATGTTGATGTGTGCGTGCGTTTGTGTAGATACACAAACGCACACATATCATCAACTTCCAAAAAATTGTCTCTCTGATTGCAAATCTGAGGCTGCCGTCGTCAAATTTCAGAGGCAATTTTTTGGATGTTAATGTGTATGTGCGTTTGTGTATCTCAAAGACACAAATACACATACATCATTAACCTCTAAAATATTGTCTTTCTGGTAAGATTATAATGAGCAACAGATCTGGAGTTCCATCTTGTAAGATTTCCTAACCCTTGTGATCTCAGAATAATCTGATTATGTCGGCGGTTTTCTATATAAACCGTCGTGGTTATTTCAATTCTTGTCGTTAGGTAGATCTACCGACGTAGGATAACAAAATCGAAGAAATAAATTTTTTAAAAAAATTCTTATTCAGACGACGGTTTAAATATAATTTATGACGTATAAAGTGGACAAATACGACGTTAAATTCTATAATACGTCGTTATATGAAAACCCCAACTTGGTAAGATTGAAAGATGTCGTCGTAGAAATACGAGAAAGACGTCGTTATATTTACCTTTGCCGTAGTTGTACATTAATTTAATACGGCGGTATTTTGTATTTTACCGCCGTGGATTTATTTGTAATTTTACGTCGCCTTATACGAAAACTTGGTCGTGTTAATTTCTGGGTAAAAACGACGGCTTTTTTTGAAACCGTCGTCTTTACTTTCTACGTCGGTCGGTTCATAACTTCCGCCGTTATTTGTTGGCTATGATTTTACCTCATGAAAATCCTATTTCAATAAGACGTCGGTTTTTAAATTAAGTACGTCGTGTTTTTGGAACAGCCATTTGAAACTCCATTTTTTAGTTGTCTAATGTGTTATTACACGGCGGTTTTATAAAACCGTCGTCTTTTAAAAAACAACGACGGTTTTCACGTAGACCGTCGTGTTTTTGTGGTCGTCTTTTTCACTTTTTGTAGTAGTGTCTCATGTTTAAAACCTCTAGGCACCAATGTGTGTGTGAGTAAATTTTCTTCCCCCTCCCTGCCTTTGACAAAATAAAAAAGGAGAAACCTTGAGGAATACAGGCCGAGTTTGTGCACCTAGTTCATGGCCTTCAAAATTTGATGGTGAAAGTCTGCCGAACCCTAAAGCTAAGAAGAAAATGATATCGTCAGTGGTGAAAGTCTGGCACATGACAGGCGAACTTTCTCAACTAAAAGTCCTACCACATCCAGCCAAAAATATGTAATCTCTCAACTACTGCTAGTTCTAAGACAGGACCAATTGGATAGAACAGGACATAGACAGAGACATGAGTAACCAAAGGTCTTTTCAATTTGATTGAATCTTTCATTTGTGGTGTACAAGCGACCATGGAAAGCAGTTTCAGCATTCATTTTTTATCACATGACATTATAATTCAACAAATTATATAAGAGAGAGAGAGCCGCCCCAATAAAAATGATCTCATCAAAAAAAATATATATCAGAACAAGTAGTAACCTCATTATTCTATAAACTTGCATGCTTAAATTAGGGTTATAAAGCAGCGCAGGTTATTACATTGCTCCATAAAATCATTAAAAAAGAAAATATACAAATATATATGTGTATATATATATATATATGCATAAATTAACAAAGGACCCATCTAGCTCATCATCTTCCACAAGCCCAATTCCAGCATGAAATCAGTCAAAGCCTGTGTGGCACAAGACTGCCATAAGACAATGGGGCAGAAGCTTGTTTCTGATGCTCAGGCTTCTTCTCATTTGAACCCAAGTGTCTTTTACAAGGCACGTAGGTCATTTCCTTCTCGTTGGGGCACTTTCTAGGCTTGGAGAAGAAGGCAGTACATTGAGCCTTTGTTTTCTGGTTTGGTTGGCCCAAAATGCAATTCTGCCTAACATCAAGAACCTTCTTCTTGATCAATTTCCGGCACTCTGGCCCGACCTCTGTGAAATAGTTGTTGGCCAAGTAGAAGTTCCTCAGATTAGACAAGGTGCAGACCTGCTCTGGCACTGGTCCATAGAAGCTGTTGTTGGCCAAGTTTAGATAATCAATCTTGGCCAAGCAGCTGAATGAGTGTGGTATTGGGCCTGTTAAGAAGTTGGAGCTCACATCGAACACCGTGGCCTGGTTTAAGTACCCAATTTCATACGGCAGGCACCCTGAAAAAGCGAGGTATTAAATGTCGGTGTCCAAGATAATATCAAAGGTAATATATATATTGAGGAATAATAAATGAAATCGGAATTAATTGGCTAGAACTGGTTACCACTCTATCTTACATTTAGGATTACGTACGGATTTGGTGTGTTGGATTATATAACTGGATAGGATTCACAATTTAGTCAGATGTTTGGTGGCCTTAAAACAACAAGGATCGGATTATGTCTTGTAGGCCCAAATATAGTAGGATTATAAATCCAATCAAAATGTAGAGATTAAGGTGGATGAGATTGAGTCATTTTATAGTGAGGATCTTATCTTTTAACCGTTAGATCAAACTAACTAATTTGATTCAACTGTCAACCAATTAGATTATGTTTAATCCCATTAGGTTATGTAATAGCATATTTCATTTAATCCAGTCTTTAATTATGTATAGCACCAAACATATCATTAGATTATATTAGTGTTATCATATTCAAGCAAAATAGTGTTATCCTCATTTTCTCTGTATTTTTGGTCCTTAAAACAGAGAAAATGGGGGAAAATTCCAGGATATTATAGAAATTTCGAAGCATACCTGTAAGGCTGTTCCCAAGGAAGAGAACCTCAAAAAGGGTTTTGCATGCTTGGCCAATGCTTCTTGGGATTGGACCAGTGAACTTGTTGTTAGCAAAAGTGAAGTAATGTGCTGGTGAGGAACCAAGATTGTCAGGAATCTTCTGATTGAAATTGTTGTTGTTGAGGAAGAGCACATCAACATCTAGTTTGAAGACTTCCGGTGTGACTGAACCTGCGAAGGAGTTGAACCGGAGGTCCAAAAATGTCAAATTTGTGGCCGCAAGAACTTCATTAGGGAAGCCTCCGATTAGCTTGTTGTTGCTGAGGTCAAGCTCGTAGAAGAATTTTAGTTTGTAAACGTCTTTTGGGACAAAGCCTGTGAAATTGTTGGAGTTTGCATGGAAGAAAGCCAAGTCCTCTAATTTGTCAAGGAAGCCATCCAGGGGGAGTTTAGCATTATAACCGCCAAACAGAGCGCCATTGATGTCTAAACCAGCAACTGCTCTCTGCTTGTAGTCAGGATGAATAGCGCAGACAACGCCCTTGTACTTGCAAACATCACGGCCCCGCCATGACTTTTTGTAGTTTTTCGGGTCATCCTTGATTAAGGGTCTGAAATTTTTAAACACATAGTAGGCAAGTTTAATTCGCTCGCTCTCAAACTTGCCTGGGGCAGGTGTTCGTGGTGGTGGTTTTGGTGATGGAGGTGGTGACGGTGATGGAGGCTTTGGTTTTGGTGATGGAGGTGGTGACGGTGGTGGAGGTGCTGACTGGGTGGTGGCGTTGGTGGTGGTGCTGGCGGTGGTGGCGGTGGTGGAGGCTTTGGTTTTGGTGATGGAGGTGGTGACGGTGGTGGAGGTGCTGAGTGTGGTGGAGGTGGTGACGGTGGCGACGGTGGCGACGGTGGTGGAGGTGGTGATGGTGTTGGAGGTGGCGGTGATGGTGACGGTGTTGGTTGTGGAGGTAGCGGTGATGGTAGCGGAGGGCATGGAGGCGGGGGAGGAGGAGGGCAATTTTCATATTCAGGAGAAGGGGGAGGAGGAGAACTTACACCTCCTCCACCTATAATGATTTCCAAGGCTTCTCTATGTGTGCTGATCAATTGATCATGAACACTTTCAACCTCATGGTACAAACACAAATGTACTAAAAGTATTGAGATCAAAAGTGAAGCAAAGAAAGAAAAGGTAGCCATGCCTTTGTTTAAGCATGAGTTGCTAGAAATAGTGAAGAGATAATATCATGCATATAAAGGAGGAGGAGACTAAGGCAGACTTAGACTTATGTGAAGAATAGTCAAGGGTCATGACGGAAAAAGATAGCATTGGCCCAAAAATGTTTGTCTCTTGGGGATGAGAGTTGAAAGAGAGAGAGAGGGGCTTGTGAGTTGAGCTCTCATTGTCGGACAGAGAGACACTTTTGTTACATATTATTGTTTGCCTCTCTGATTCCTTACATTTTTTATTTTCAAGTCCCTTGGGACCTACCAAAAGTTTAGAGGCTTGGCCTTACTTTACTAAAATACTTGGGCACAGCTCAGGATTATGAAAACAGTATTAGAATGGAGATTTATGTGCAAATGAAGATTCTGTGCTTAAAAGAGATTTGCAGAAAAATAAGTGTTTTTGCAAAGGTGATTGCAAGGCCAAATGAATGCCCACTCGAGCCTCTAGCTTCAATTTGATTGGGTAAATTAATGACAGGACTTTTTTCTTCC